GTGTGTGTGTGTGTGTGTGTGTGTGTGTTAGTCACATACATATTAGCAAACATAATAAGTAATAAATACACTTAGAGGCCCTACACATGTACGTTCCAACCTGGCGCTTTTAACCGGAGTGGGAAACGGCGTTCGAAACCGTCGCACAAAACCGCTATTCGACGGGTTGGCGCGTCATCCACATTGCGTATGGTTTAACCGCAACGAGTGGACTGACAGTGACGATTTGCTTCCAATGTATGTATGTGCTGCTTTTGGCGAAGAAAAACAAAACGAAACAAAAATGCGTAAAGAAGACTGGCTTCAGAAAAGAGATCCCCTGTGAGCTAAAGATCAATCAGTGCGAGAATTACTGCCTTATCCTGATGATTTCAGTGGGGTTTTTTTTAACGAATGTGTGTGTGTTTGTGTGTGTGTGCGTGTGTGTTTGTGTGTGTGCACCATTGGCTTGGAGGGGGTGGGGGGTGTGAGAAGCTTGTGTATGTTTGTCAAGAACGGTTTTAGCTTATGTGTATGTATTTGTTTATGCATAGGCTGATATATTTCATCCGAACCAGCACCGATAACTGGTTTCTCTCGACATTTAAAAACAATTTCTTCTGGAATAATAACCCACGCAGATTACTAATCTATTTATCACTGAGTCCTTTTTTGCGTCAGTTTCAAAGCTTTTTTCAAAATCGACCAGATTGTTAATAGGCCCCGGGCGATTTGAATAGTCTTTGGATTTTATTTTCCTAAGTCTGTCATGGGTTCTGTAAATTTAAATGATTTTAAGAATTTTCTCTTTCGACCATGCTCCCATTTTGTGGTACGTAGCTGTTTAGCTTGTGCAGACAATCAAGTGTGTTCTTTAGATCTACTGCACATCTTGGCACAGAGGCCAGCCCTTTACTGATCCCCTTAGCCTTCAGTAAATGCATAATATGGTGTATGTGGTATTCTGTTTTCTCTTTAATTCTTGAAAAAACACAAGTTCTGCTCGTTAAAATTTGGTCGCTCGTTTAAAAAATGTAATCAGATTTCATGTGCAGTAGATCATTTTGAAGATACTCTCAGATAAGATAAGCCGGCTAAGCTGGTGATGTCACACATAAAGGCTTTCGTCGACGGAACGCGCTGAACTGTAGGCCGTAGTCAGAAAACCCAACATGTTGAAACAACCCGGTTCGCCCTCAGGGTTCAACTTTTTATCAGCAGTTTTTCTTCCACCTCTGCAGCGGTTCTGCCTCCAGGTTTGCTTTTCCATTCCGAACCGGCAGTTTGGAACGTACATGATTAGGGCCTCTTACACATAATATTACACGCAGAAACACATGCACATATTTACAAGACCCTCCTGTCATTTCTATTTTTCTGTTTATGTAGTTCTCTTGATTCTTCTATCACTGTATGTTTCAAAGTGCAGTTCTGTCTGTCCATCTCTCTTCATTTAATCACGTCTGTTCGTGCAGATGTAGGCGTGGGGGGGGGGGGGGGGGGGGTTGGTGGGTGTGCTGGTGTGGTTTGCTTGTTATGTCTTGTCAAAAAATTATCTTCCTTATCTCTCCTCCATCTTTCAATTGTATAATACTCTCAAAAAACACCTCTAATCTTATCTTTTTTAAAAATGTTAGTTGTTTTTACTCCCCACATTTTAGATGATTTTAGGAGGGGGGGGTTTCCCACCCTGCCTATCAAGGGCTAACCGGGCTGGAAGGGATACAATTTAGAAAAAAAAGAGAGAGAGAGCGGAGGAGAGAAAGGAGGAGAAGAGTTCTAGGCTCTTTGGTGTGAAAGCAAAAGCCCCCAAACCAAAAAACCCCATGGGGCCGGGCCTTAGGAAAAGTTTCGGGGAACCACAACCCACCTGTGAGCCCCGGAGGCAAAAAGGCCAACAACCCACCCAAACCACCCCCGCCAAAAAAAAACCAAACAACTCAGGTAAGCATGTAACAAGTCATTGTATAAGATGTAGAATTTGTGTAATGTTATTTGTACACTCGAGCCTGCTTTAACGGCCATATGTTTAGCACAATCAATTGTAAGAGCAGCTACTTTCCACCCCCACCCCCCTTCTGCGTTATTTTACATTTAATCAAATTGTATAAGACATTCACCTGTATAAGAAGGCCAGTTTTCTCTTCGACAGGCCCTCTTAGACTATTAATTTTTGTTGTACAGGCCATTGCCGGTGTTTTCCTGTCAGCAGGAAAGCGAGTAAATTTCGCCTCTACCACAGTCCTTCTTATAGCTGTGAAAAGAAGTGTGACCCAAAGAGACTGTCTTTTCTTTATTCCGGTAATCTAAAGACGAACACCGCAAAACTCTTATTCAACAAAACAGACTGTCTTTTTGTGTGTGTTTATTTTGTCAGATTTTGGATGTATAATAATTATTCAGAACTTGGAAGGATTATAGTGCGCCCCAAAAACCCGTAAGTATGAAACGTGTCATTGCGTAAGATGTCGAATTTGTGTAATTTTATTTGTTATGAAGCACCTACAGCCACTACGGAATGGCTACTATAAAAGCGATCTTTATTATGTAAAAAAGAGAAACCAGTTTTAAAAAGAGGAAGAAGAATAGTATAATTTATTAAACTGTGGTGTTAATAAAATTAATACCTCTGTTGGCATAACGCTGCTCAGTGATGCGCTTGATACTGGTCCATGGACCTACGAACGTATTTTGATTTGAAGGTTCAAAAGGCTCTCTCTATAATTGTGGAGTCAGCAGGATAGTGGTTAGGCTACAGGACTCATTATCGCGAGGCTGCGGGTTCGAGGGTTCGAGCTACAGGCCCGATGTTGTGTCCTTAGGAAAGGCAATTCATACAAATTTTCCTCTGTTCACCCAGGTGGGGATGGGTACCCAGCCAAAGACAGCGAAATATCTTGTCAGTATGTTAGTATTTTAACGCATATAAACTGGAAGCGGAAAGAAATATTGATATCCGATCAGCAGCAGACCAAAGGCAATCCTTCGGCACACTTCAAATCGTTGTACCCAATATGAGATACACATTTGCATATTTCCCAGCACGCGCTGGTTACTTTCCTTTTGAAGTTTCAGGTGAGGAAAACATAGTTGAAAAACATAAATATTAAATAACAAAGCTGCAGGTATCTTTTGTTCTTTTTAAGACCTCCTCCTCCCCGCCGCGCCGCTTCAAATGGCAAAATGTGAATCCTCAGTGAGTTAACGCCGAACTGAACTATATTTAATAAAAGGGTCTGCAAAAAGGTATTCACTCACATGGCTAAAAGCTCAATATTCAAGACAAGAGCAATTCTGTGTGGTTACTAAATCTATGTAAGTTGATGTTCTGGTATATTGTCCATCCAAATGTTCACATAAGGATCAATAAAGTTTATCTCATTTTTATCTTATTTTCACCTCCATTAATTTTTGGCAGTTGCACCAGGATCTTTCTGAAGCTTCTTATTATATTGCACTATTTCAGAGGGTTGGATGGGAGAGATCACGGACAGAGGTTCATGGTGCTGAAGAATCATAAAAAAGTCGAAGTGAATCTGGAAATTCCTGCAGGCCTCACGTGCACACAATGTGTATTGCAGTGGCGCTATGTTGCAGGTACGTCTCCTAAGCTGGGTGAAGATGGTCGGGGGGTGTCTTTGGTAGGTTCTACGTGAAACTTGACCTCCTGTGATTGTCTGTCTTGCTTCTATCACCGTCTGGATGGCTTTGTTGTGTTCTTCTGGGCTGAAGAGTTCAGACTCAGAATTCCTCTGGATCGGAAAATTGTCCTTGCACTTGTTTCTTCTCCAGTAGGTAAATAAATCAGATCACAATAAGGTGGAGCGCTCGTCAGTCTTTAATGCGTATGGCCTTATTGGAAATATCTTAAATCCTGTTCATTTCCCTTGTTTTTGATGAAAAAAGATCCGAAAATCATAAATTATAGAAGTCAAGATACTTGCAACTGAATCGGGGTGGGTGGGAGGGGGGGGGAGTTGTCTGGTGTCAGAGATAAAATTAATTAACGTGAAAATGGCATCCAGTTTGGTGACTTCTGAAGGTGTGGTATCTTTGAAAACTGCAGATTTGCCTTTGATCGTCGTTACGTTTAGTAAAGGCCACACATACGCACACACACACACACACACACACACACACACACACACACACACACACACACAAACACACACAAATAAACGGATGTCTTTTTAAACGAGCGTAAAAGGAGTGAGACCAAAACCAATAAAATCGATGAAAAAAACTCAGTACATGTTTCAGAGTTGACGGTTGCTCCTCAAGGTAAATAATTTCTGAGAAACGCACCGAGACGTCCAAAAATACAAAATACAGACTTTGAATAGAAGTAAAAGAAAGAAAAAAACAACAAAGCTTCGAAGTCATAGCAGAGAACGCCATGTTCGAAGTCCATTAACGTGGAAACGGAAAAGAGGGAGATTATACTAAGAACATAATCACAATAAAATCCACAGTCGCTCCCCTTGAGATTTTCTTGAAAGGACTCTCAAAAAAATAATTGAAAAAACCGTCAATTTTTTGGACGTTCATCAATATTTTCGTAAAGCCTTCATATATAAATGAGTGTACGTGTGTGTGTGTGTGTGTGTGTGTGTGTGTGTGTGTGTGTGTGTATGTATGTAAGTGTGTGTGTATGTACGTATGTATGTGTCGTTTGTGTGTTTATGTGTGTTTGCATGTGCGCGTGTGTACATGAGCGTGTGTGCACGTGCGTGAGTACATACACGTGCACAAGCGCGTGCGCGCGTTGGTGTATGTATGTGCGTGTGTTTGTGTGTGTGCGTGTGTGACGCACACACACACGCACACGGACACCCCCAAGATCACCCAAATACAGACAGAACATTCATTCTAAATAAGCATTATAATAAATAATAAATATAACAAATTGTAGAGCTAACATTATCGCGAAGTAACAAGCCATTCGCATCACCCACCAAAAAGAATCGCATGTCAATGCATTGACAGTCACAGAGCAGGTTTTTTTATGCAAGTCTTTCTCTCTGTCAAGTGACCGACATGCACTGTCATCGAAATGACGCACAGCTGCAACAACAAGGCCAACATCATCATCATCATCATCAACAGCAACAATAGCAACAACAACAACAACAACAACAACAACAACAACACCAACAACAACACTGACAATTACAACGGTGGCAGTAATAACATCAACAACAAGGACACCAGAAACAACAACTATGACAATATTAACAAGAACAACAACAACATCAACAACATCAAGAACACCAACAACAACAGCAACAACACTGATAATAATAACAATGGCAATAATAACAACAACCTCGACACCAGCAACAATAACTAAGACAATAATAATAACAACAACAACAAAAACAACAATATCAACAACAACAACAACAACAACAACAACAACAGCAACAACACTGACAATAATAACAACAACCTCGACACCAGAAACAACAACTTTGACAATATTAACAACAACAATAGCAACATCAAGAACAACTCAGCAATAACAAAAACAACAACATCAACACTAATAATAATAAGACTGGCAATAATAACAACAAACCACGACACCACCAACAACAACTATGGCAATAATAACAACAACAGCATCAACAACAACACAACAATAACAAAAACAATAGGAGCAATAGTTATTTTAACTAATAAAAGCAGCTGCAGCTTCATCGAGAACTATATTAGTGGCGTCCGTGGTCTAGTGGTTAGGCTACCGGACTCGTAATCGTGAGGTTGCGGGTTCGGGGGTTCGAGCCGCGGGCCTGACTTTGTGTCCTTGGGAAAGACACGTTACACGAATTTTCCTCACTTCACCCAGGTGAAACTGGGTACCCAGCGATAGACAGTGAAAGATCGTATCATTTTGTTAGTGGGTGAGCGCTTAACCAGCTGCTTGCACTGTATGCTTCCCGGGAAGCTGAGTATGTTTCTGAGTGTTCTATGTTCTGCTGGGGTAATAATATAGTGTAAACCGCATAGAGCTTGCTTTCGAGTAGGGATATGCGCTATACAAATGCTATTTTTATTATTATTATTATCATTATTATTATTATTATTATTATTATTATTATTATTATTATTATTATTATTATTATTATTATTATTATTATTATTATTATTATTATATATGTTATTATTATTATTATTATTATTATTATTATTATTATTATTATTATTATTATTATTATTGTTATTATTATTAGCGAAGACAACAATAATGGGATGTAAACAGCATCATCTTCATTGCCTTTCTCACCTTGGATCAGGATATAGGCCACGAACAAACACTCTCCACCTTTCCCTATCCTGGGCTAGTCGCTTGATGTCACTCCACGTCTTCCCATTTTTCTGTACATCCATTTCCATGACTCTTCTCCAGGTTCCACGTGGTCTTCCCCTTGATCTTTTACCCTGCGGGTTCCAGTCTAACACGTTTCTTGTTATGCAGCTGCCGGACTTACTGAAAGTGTGTCCAATCCTTCGCAAACGTCTTCTTCCCACCTCATCTCTGACTGGGCTCTGTCTCGTTTCTTAATACTTCCTCGTTGGTGATCTTGTCTGTCCACTTGATCCTCAGTAGCTTCCTCAGACACTTTTTAAAGAAAACCTGGATTCTCTTTATGCACGTCTGGAATGTGTTCCACGTCTCAAATCCATACAACAAGACTGACTTCACAATCGAGTTGAAAATTCTAAGCTTTGTTGGTAATGAGATATCCCTGGTCCTCCAAATCCTGTTTAAAGACATAAACGCAGTCTTTGCCTTTCCAATGCTGGACTTTATTTCAGAGCCTGTTCCTCCGTCTCTGTCAATTATACTCCCAAGATAGCAGAAGGATTCGACGTCTTCTAGTACATTTCCTTGTACTGTGACCTGCTACTTTCGCGGTGCATCTATCCTTAGGACTTTCGACTTTCCAGGGTTTATCCTCAATCCAATAGACTCTGATAGAGTGTTTAAAATTGTTGTATTTGCTTTCATCTGTTCCTGAGTGTGTGACAGAAGGGCCAAGTCGTCTGCAAAGTCCAGATCGTCCAACTGTGTCCATGGTGTCCACTGTATACCGTTCCTGTGTCCTCAGGTGGTTTCCTTCATTAGCCAGTCGATGGCAAGATACAGAGGAAAGGTGATAGTAAACATCCCTGTCTCACACCGGTCTTGATGTGAAAGCTGTCAGTGAGCTGGACATCATGTATAACACTTCAACTTGTCCCTTCGTACATGCTCCCGATGAGGTTAACCAACTTCTGTGGGATTCCGTGATGTCTCAATATCTTCCACATTGCTTTTTGGTCTATGCTGCCAAAGGCCTTCTCATAGTCAAGAAATTTGACGATCAACTGGGAGTTCCACTCAAGGGACTGTTCCACTATGATCCTCAGTGTAGCAATCTGGTCCGTGGTTGACCGATTTTTCCGAAAACCGGCCTGTTCATCACGAAGCCTTAGATCCGTTACAGACTTGATTCTCTCCAGAATTATTCTGTTGAAGGCCTTTCAACAACAACAACGAAAACAGTAACAAGAAAAGTAGCAACAACAGCAACATCATGAACAAAATGACAACAACAGCAACAGCATCTGCAACGGGCCTAACGACCCACTTGACTCACTTGTCCTCTTAGGGTTGGTGCAGTCAGGTAATATAGCAATGTCAGCACAGTTGAAGAAGGACTTTTTTTCGCTGTTGTCGTTGATGCTGTTAAAACTCTTACTAAGTAGAAGACTTTTCCTGGTACTGGGAGAAGAGTGATTCCTTGGTAGTTGCTGCAGTTGCTGAGATCCCCCTTTTTAGGTAGTTTCACAAGGTGTCCTTCTTTCCAATCCTTTGGGAACTTGCTCTCATTCCAGATCTTGGTAAACAATGGGAGAAGAAAGTTTGCCGTCACATTGGCTTCTGTTTTTAGGGCCTCATGTGGAATCTGATCAAGACCGGCCGCTTTACCGTTGTTCAGCTTCTTAATGGCATCCATAATTTCTTCTTTCGATGGGGCATTACAGCAGATTGGTAGCTCATTTCTTGCTGGCAGGATGTTTGGCGGGTTACTTGGTGTTGGTCTGTTCAGGAGACTGTTGAAATGCTCTACCCATCGTCCTGACTGAGCTTCTTTTCCAAAAAATTGTTTTTCCCTCTTGGTCCTTTACTGTTAGTTCTGGTTTCCCATATTTTCCAGAAAGAGTCTTTGTAGTCTGGTAAAGGATTCGCACGTTCCCTCCTGCTGCTACCTCCTCTGCCCTCTCTGCCAGACTGTTCATGAATTCCTAATTGTCTTTTCTCAGTTATCTCTTTACATCTTTAGCTGTTTTCCTGTACTGCTCCAATGCGTCCGCTTTTGATCCCTTGTTCTATTTGCATTTGTCTCTGCTTTCAATTGTCTTCTAATGCTAATCAAATCCCATGACCGTTGGCTAATCCATTCCTTGTGCTCCTATTTCTTCTCACCGAGTATTTCTTGACATGTTGAAGTAAAGACTTCTTTGACCTTGGTCCAGTGCATCTCCACATCCATGTCTTCCTCACAAAAATTAGCCAAGGGTTGAAATCTGTTCCTCAACTGCAGTTGAAACTCCTATTTCTTATGTCCATCTAAAAGCCGTACTTGGAACTTCATTCTTTTGGTTCCTGTTCTGGTTCCATGCT